TGCTACATACACCCCCTCCCTGCCCCCCCCTTTCTTTCTTACGCTTTCGGTCGTTTCTTGGGCTTTCTCTCAGGCTTTTTAGGTTGTTCTTGAGGCTCGAGTCAAGGGCTAAGTATTCACCTTTTTTCTACCCCTACACCTATCTTTCTCTCATGCTCTCTTAGCGCTGCTCTTTCTGTGTTTCTTTCTTTTGTTTCTAAGGCTTTTTAGGTGCCTATTCAGGTCGTTCGCACGAGCGCCGCAAAGCGGCGCCGTGTGTGTGTCAATTCCTGTTCCTAAGGGTTCCTTTTTCCACAAATGCAGGGGCGTGCAGCATCTGTGGTCCACTGCACGCAACGAAGCTAAGACCACAGATGGGAAGGGATCAAGGACGCTTGATCCTGTACCTGCTATGTTTTCACAAGCTGTGACCCTAATTTTCCTTGGCTTGCTTCCATGGTAGTTCTGCATGATACCTCCCGTAAACCTTTTTCCGCGTTTCTTGCAGCTGAGTTGCGCTGACGTTCGACACTGCAGACATGTCAACAGATTGTTCAACAATTCCGGTTCGCCGACTCTTTCGCCTTGCGGTTCCATCATTCCTTGTGACCTGGGAAATGAGCTAACTGAAAACCAATGTCAGAGTGTGTGTAACGTATTGTATACTCAATTGATATTCATAAGTTCTGGGCCAAGGCTATCAGGAATTGAAGGACAGCCATCGCCTGAAGACCTCGAAGTCACTCACGCTGTTGAGGCGCACCCCTGAAGAGGCCTGAATGGCACGTTTGCAAAAGACTCGAGCTTGAGCATGTAAATCACGTAAATTGAAGCGATGAGAAACTGCTGCACTGTGCTCCAATTGTGCACGAAGTTGCCAAGGCACCTAGTTTGTCATCTGAATATATGGGTGTTTGACTGACTTTACTTTATGGCCTCAAGTAGTTCCTCTTAAGTGTTCCGTCAACTCCCCGCTCCGAACCGCACACTTGCAGGCAGAAATGCTGCAGCGCTTGCGGAAATGTGCTTCCGAGAAAGCCCCGAGACTGCTCCGGGCGGCCCCCAAGACGCTACGTGCCGATAGGGAGGCCAGGTGTAGAACAAAGCGATTGAAACACGCAGAACATTTGTGCAACTTATGCATATATATATATATATATAACTCTGTTGCGAAATGACTTGCTATTTGGTATATACGTAGGATGCACGTGCTTGTACCATCCCAGAAGTGAACCATTCACACTGAAAAGGCCCCCTGCAAACACATTGAGATCCCATGTGGCAGCTACAGAATCCTTCTGACATAGCCAGTGCACTGCACCAAGAGCGACAATGGTTGGCATCTAAGGTTGAGGAGTTCGTTATTTTGTCGCGTCACTACATTCATACACACCACCGAACCTGGTTTGCTTGGAGCCATTGTTTTCTTTGAGTGGTGATGTCAGACCGAAATAAAAGCATAATGTAAAATCGTTTTTGTGCAGGGAGCTGAAAAGCTCTTCCCATCCTAGCACCATGGTCATTGCCAATTGCCGTTGCCCCAGCCCGCACGCCCTAACCCCATCCGAATCTTTCGAATCAGCTCATTCGACCCATCCATGCGCGTAAGTAGCCGTCCCAGCTGGTAGAACCCAATTGGAACATGCTTTTGCCTGAAGGTTCTGGACAAAGGCACGCACTGCCCAAGGAGCTTATCACTTATCAACAAATATGTACATATATACACAACTATATATAAATACATATCTTTGTGATATTTTATGTATATAACTATACATATACACTCATAAAGTCATATTATACAATATTGTATACAATCCTGAAAAAAAGAAAGAACATGAAAGTAGCAGAGCTCGCCGATCTCGCATTGTGAGCGTTTTTCATCGTGCAGTCCGTACCCAACAGCTTACGATCGCTTCGCTGAAAAATGCGTTTGGGCTCGTGGTTCGTGAGATCCAAACCCCAGGCTGCTCACAAGCGCCTCATATTCTCAATCAGCACTTGACAGAGCATCGTGCTAGTTGAAAAAATAAGTTGAGCCTCAGCCAGGTTGTCCTTCGCGCCGTGGAGAAGAGCGGAGTGGCTTTGCAATTCGCGGACGAATCTCTTCGAGGTGACAAGGAGAACTGCTCCTTGCAAGTGCAAGATGGTCGTCGCTTCATGCTCACATGTCTTGTTGTCATTGTCGCCATCGGCATGAGAGTTTGCAGAGGCAGCGCTGCATCATGATGCATGGTATGACTTTGTGTACACAAGGGTCCGCGGGCACTTGTCCCAAGTGTCTCCTTCTCAAAAGAATTTAATGCAGCCTATGCCAGCCAAGTCTCAAGCCTGAATATCAAGGTGGCTGCGGCTGAAACTTGATACATCTTGATACCCTCCAGCGGCACCAATAACTTACCTGAGACATGAAAAAGAATGTCTACAACGGGGCCATTCGGGGCTGACCCACATTGCCCAAAGCCAATTAAATCACATCGTGGCCACTGTGCAATTCCAATTACGAATTCTGAAGATGATTTCCACCACAAAGTTGGCCCCAAAGGCAAATTGCTCTCCGAAAACGAAGCCTGCGGGAAGACGATTCTGAAGACTTCCTCAATCACGAATTCCGACGAAGACTTCCACATAGACGAACCGGTTGCGAGAGGGGCAAAATCCAAATGCAGAAATAGAATTTGTTGGGAAATTCGATGAAGTTCAGCACACGCCACTCAGAAAGTATAGGCAACTGTTCTGAGGTACTTCAGACGACATGTGACAGGGCTGGTGGAAAAACTCTTGTGGGAAGCAGGAGAGGCTTTCTCAGTAGAAGGGCGCTTGCTCGCGGAAAGGGTGGTTTGACGAAGTTTTTCTGTAGAAGACACCCGCTTGCTCACGGGAAGAGTAGTGACACGAAAGGACAGGCTTGCTTAGAATAAAGGCGCGGATCTATTGAAAGAGTCTTACAACAAAAGGAGAGGCTTGATCAAAATAAAGTTACTTGCTTTCGGAAGAGTGTTGTAACGCAAAGACAGGTTTGCTTAGAGGACGCGCTTTCACTTCCATGAAGAAGTCTTGTAAAGGAAGGAGAGGTTTGCTGAGAATAAAGCGGCTTGCTCGCGATCACATTCTCTTTGTCAGCGCTCCTTGACATGCAACCCCAAGTCTGGTTAAAATTGTGCAAGTGGTTGCGAGGGGATGCCCCAAACTGCATAATTATCCATAGGATAGGCAACAAACTCGAATGCACTGATGAGAAAGAGAGAGAGCGAGAGCGAGAGCGACAGCTATGTTCGTATATATATATATATGTATGTATATATATATATTGTGATATATATATATATATGCACACCATATTACAGTAAACGTCAACATCACGCATTTAAACTTTTGTGTATATGATTTGATATAGTTTCTTTTTGTGTGTCTATTTTTTGAAAACCCTGCGCAGTGGCATAAGCGTTCTGCCATGCCTTTATTGTTCTAGCCCAAACGAAAACAATAACAAACCGCAGCGTAGCGCCATCGCGCTGTGCCTACAACAAATGATGTCCAGCACAGGTTTAGGTTTCCCAGCGCGTATCTACGTCTGTTGTTTTTTGAAAAGTGCTCATGCAGTCCCTCCTCCAAGTTTCAAAACTGCTTTTGAAACGCTGTTAATCTACTGGATGAAGTTGAAGAAATGCGTCCTCTGAAGAATGCATCGTTGGTTGGCAATTGCTTGTCACAGAATGTGTCGTCGCAATGTGTCGTCAAGGGGTAACATGTCGTCCGGAGGAAATGTGTCGTCAGACAATATGTCGTCGCATTGTGTCCTGAGGGGCAATTATGTCCTCGGGAATGTGTCGTCACAATGTGTCGTCAGCATTAAAGGTCAAACCCAATCTGCGGGCGCCCTGAAAAATTGATCCAAGCCCTTTGAATTCGATTCAGCGGTTGACCTGTGATTGCATGCGCTTGCGGTGTAATAGTGTAATGTCCCTGTCTCTGTTTCGCCGCAGGAAGTTGTAATGGCTGCAGTTTCTCAGACTGGTCATGCTATTCAGCATGCAGCAGAGGCTGAAAGAATGAGAGTGAATGTGTACTCAACACCTGGTAGCAGATCAAAAGGCTGCAAGCACCTTGCCTGCCTGTCTCATGTGACAGGAGCTGCGATCTGATCGTGATGTGGTGGTTGCCGCCTTGAAGGGCAGCCCAGAGGCTTGGATGCTGTTGCCTCCGCAATGCACTGCCAACAAGGAGCAGATCTAGCACAGATATGGTCCAGACAATTCTACTATATTTTGCTGTGACTTGCCTTGAAGGCCTCAGGCGCTCAGGTTTAAGATGGTTCCGTAGTTTGCAGGATGTGATGCTGGCCTTGATAAATCTATCTGGCCGACACCTTCAGTTGGCAGATAGTTGCCTCAAGGCTGATCCAGATGCTGCTGAGAAGCACACAGGTGAGTAATCGCCATAGTTGCTAGCTCCACACATGGCATTGGCCCAGAGAAAGTGTGCGTTTCCAGGTTGTTGCCATTCACTCGCCAGCTGACTTGCATGTTCGAATGTGCTTGTGTTTCTGAGTTTCGAGTAAGGTTGTGATGGCTGCGCTCCGCAGCGATGTTTTCTCCTTGCAAGCTGCTGCTGACGAATTGCAACATGTCTCATCACACTCTGTGGTAGCAAGGAATCACCCAGAGAACAGTATAAATAATTATATATATTTATATTTATCAAAATGCTTGAGGCGACGTGATCGAGATTTCATGCTGGCAGCCATTTGCCAGGCTAGTTGCAAAACATTGCACGCCGGTGAGTTTGCAAAAACGAAGTGGGACAATGTATGACAATGTCACATTCCGTGAGTTGGCTCACATTCCGTGTCACTGCAGAAACCTATGGCCTTCCTTTTTGCCGCAGACGAGCTGCAGCAGGACTGCGCTCGTCACCGCTTTTTTCCGTCCTCGACGCACAGCCATTTATATGATATCAGATAGTGTGTGTGTGTGTGTTTCTGTTTTCTTTCGCAGGATCGAGACTTTGCCATCGAAGCAGTGAAGCAAAACCCGCGAGTGCTCAGAGGCTTAGCAATGCTTAGCAGCAAAAGATTGCACAAGCCAACCCAGAAAACCCAAATTGAGCAGCCATGATGAGATCTAAGGAGCCTTGTTTGCTCAGTTTAACCTGCATCCAATTTGATCCACCTTCAGGATATTTGGGAAAGCTTCAGCAAGATGTGATGGTGATCAGTGCTGCCACAAAATCCTCTGGCTCTGCTATGCATTTGGCATGGGAGGACCCGTTCTTCTAAGGAACTGCTTGTGCTTTTGTGACTGGAGCCCTCCGACCTGGCAGGACGAAGAGGCAATTGGCACTGGTATTTGCAACATTGGTTACCACTAACCGGGAGACCTGACAGCCCTGATCGGACCTGATATACCGCAGGTATACATGTTTAAATTTGATGCACCCTGTGGAGCATGTGCATGAAGCTACTAGGAACAAGTGCATCGCTACTAGTAACAAGTGCCTTACTACTAGTAACAATGAACAAGAAGCTTCTAGGTACACCCTGTGGAGCATGTGCATATGTCTTTTACAAGTGGCCGAAGGCCCAACGGTCTGCGTTCGCTCAAAACTCTAGGAGGCATGACCTTGAGTTCCATTAACCTTCCCTGGTGAACCTAGACCTCCCAAAGGGAGAGAGGTGCAAGCAGGACCTGCTTGCTGGGACATCGCAATTTTTGCAGGCAGGCTCTTTTAGTTCATCGGCGCTTGTGGCTACCAGAGGAAAATCATGGAGCAAAGCGAAGAATTCGTGTGACAGATTCATTATGATTCATTGGCTTATGATTTCAACAGCTCCAGCCAGTCGAATTTGTTTTCATAGTGAAATGACTCAACACATCACGAAAGCTAGCGTCAGCTAGCTGGAGATACTCTTGCTTTACCCAATGAATAATTTATCTGTAGACCCCCCCACCCCCAGGTTCAACCCCCCCTCCGACCGAGGCCTTGGAGAGGACAATCTACTATAGGATACTATAGGCATCTATACACTGTGGAGGTCATTTGACTGTCGCATTCGTCGTCGTCTTGGTGGCCGCATCGTTTTCGTCATCGTGTTCCTTGTCCTTATCCTCCCCTCGTCGCCTGCGTTTGGCGGCATGTTTCCATCGATTCGTAGCATACCTCATGACCTGCTTATTCCACAGAAACTTTCTCCTCCACCTGGCTTGCATACACCGAACCACGATTTACACCAACCATGGTTTACACCAAACCACGGCTTACACCACACACCCTTTACAACAACCCCTGGTTAACACCGAGCAGCGGTTACTCAAAAACACGGTTTACACAAAACCACAATTTACACCTCACACTGCAGGGTTCAACGCTCCTTACTCGGCTTCAGGTGTATGCGTACAATATATATATATATATATTATATATATACTCAACACCTCTCACCACCTCTCGTTTCCAGACCCTGCTAGCTTTCGTCACCAACCCCCGGCCTCAAGTTGATAAGTTTGCAAAAATTATGTTAGTGGGTGGGTCAGACAGTCCTGCTTACTTTTCCTCAAGGTCTACGTGATTCCTGTTGCGATGGCCTGAGGACTTTCATGTCAAGCTTTATACTTGTGCACAGAGCACTCCTCAAGTTGTGGTTTGATGCACTATGATGCACTCAAATTGCTTTCGCGGTCTTGATGCGCAAGGCCTTTGTGCTTGCCATCCTTTACTTCTTATGGAAATAGCACACCCGGTGTGGCAGAAAAGCCATGCTTTTCGAGGTGATGAGAGACCGTGCGCATTTTTTGGACCAGGGGGGTATATAGGCGGCTGAGGTAGGTAGGTATTAGGTTAGCTAGAGGTAGGTAGCTAGTAGTAGCTAAGTAGCTAGTAGCTTAAGTAGCTACTACCTTGAACGCAGGATAGCTCACGCTTCTTCCAGGAAACGCTCGCACTATTCATGTGGTTTCTGGATGTTTAGGAAAACTTAAGTTCCGTGTGGCCTCAACAGAAGATGCGTTCTTTTTGGCTACAGAAGTTGTTGGCTGGACAACACCTGACAAAGCAGCCGGCTTTTATTATGCATGTCGTTTGACTGTCTAAGTCTTTTGGATCAAATATATAGGAAATGATCAGCCTCGAGATGCCTTACGCACATTTGCTTCACGACCACTGCATGACAACATCCCAAGCAAAAGATTCAAGCATCGCCTCTGGCAGTGCTTTCTTACAATACCTTGGAGCTCGCGATGGCAATTTCGGCGTTGGAGACTGGACGACGGCAGTGCCTTCGGCAACCCTTTTGATTGATGGCAACGTTTTCAGCATGTGTCCGATCTGCCGTTTGAAATGGTAGTGCCAATTCTTGCGGCTTAAGAGCTTCAGTGTCAAACGGAGTCATGCAAATGAGGCTTTCAAAATGGCAAGCTCTGCTCGTTCTTCCAAGGACTTTGCTTCGCAGCTCAGTTATTGACCTGAAACCAAACATCCCGAGCCCTGACTGAGCCCATGAAAAGATCAAAGACCATCATGAGACCTCTTCGCGTTCATCCTGTTGTTTTTGCTGCCGACTTCCACCCCATGACCCAATGAGTGGTTCAAAATGTTCAAAATAGTGATTCTGCATGCCACCTGGCTTGCCTTAGGTATACCGTTATACCAATCATTCCGCAGAGAACACGTGGAATGCGCGAGTTACTTCATACCCTTTCATGCCAACCACCGTGCCACGTGCTCCTTGCACTTTTGCACCGACGATTAGAATTTGTCTTGGCTGCATGGGCAGATGCCACCGGGCAGGACCCTGCGCCTGTCCATGACAAGAGATCAGGCAATTCGGCCGCTTGCGTTCTTTTCATGTTTTCTGTATTCAGCAGTGAAATGATGCGCTCAGGCTATCAGAGCACACCTCGAGTTGAGCGAAAGCCTATGACCTGGAATCCTGTCCTCAGATCCGTCGCCTGGGGCTGAGTGGGCATGTCGGCTGACTGTTACACCTGGCAAGTTAAACACAAGCTTCCACCATGCATGGTGACCCTGATGGTTGTTTTGGCTGTTTTTGGGAGCGGTGTTTGACCCACCCCCCTGCCGGCTCAAGGCAGACCACACAAAGTCCGGATATGCCGCAAGGGCCAGCGTCAGCGCTACAAAGGACCTTGCTTGAGCAAGCCTGCATATCCCTTGACCATTCAAAAACACTATGCATTGCCGTGCATTGCTGGTCACTTGTCACCAAAGGTCCGCTTGTGGCAGGAGCCATCCCCTCGCCCACCGGAGAAGCGACCTGCTGTGCTACGCTTGCGACACCCTGCGAAGCCCAGCCAGGAGGAGCATGAGGCGAGGAGGATTCCAAAAAGATGCTCAATGTCAGAGAACTTTCTTGTCTCACTAGCAGCCACTAGCCTTATGGCAGGACCTGGCAGGAACATGTTTGGGCGAACAATACGCAACGGAAGAGAGGAAGAAAGAAGGACAAAACTTGAAAAGAAGGATATGCTCACAGTTTCGCAGGCAATTCCAGAGAGGCGCCCAGCCGTCCCAAGGTGCTCAGAGCGCTTGCGATTGCGCCCTCTCCCACTCCTCCCCTTGACCAACCACTTACAACGCTACTTTTCGTTCTTGGCTTGGCTATGTATTGTTTTCTTAATATGAAACTTTTGGAGGCTTCAAAGCGTCAGCCGTCAGCCCTGATAACTGTTTGATATTGTTATTTTAGATGGAGAGGATGGATGTGGGGGGTCAGGTTCCGACATCCGCGGACCACTGATGCTCAGGAGTGAAACATGTGAAACGATCAAGTCGTAACGTTAAGGTGAGCATTTTTATAGACACTCGCAGACAGTCAGATCAGTCAACTTTTGTTCACAGCTGGCTGGATGAATCCATGGATTGCTTTTGGATTGGCCGGTGTTCTTCAAGTTTGCCGGTCGACCTTTGACGAAAGCTAGTTCAGAAACCTCGAGAGCAACATGTCCTGAATTGAATAGCTTTGTGTTTCCTTTTGTTTAAGTAGGGCGAGGGCTAGGAGGAGTGCACCTAGGTAAGGAGCAGAACAAACTGCCAGGAGCAGTATGGGCGTGCATATTCAAGCCGATTCTCAGCTGAAGTTTCAGAATATTGAGATACAACATTGGAGGCCTGAAGCAGGATGGGTGTTCCTGTCCTGTTCTGCCCAAACATTGATAAATAGCGGTTCAGAATGGTTCAGATGCCCGCATGAATGAGATTGTACATTTGCATGTGCTCCGATCCCTGCCAAGCACAGCTTGTGTTGGATTCAGATATGTCCAGATACGGGTTGGGCTTGCTCCCTCAGTAATCAATCTTGGGTCCGAATTCACATGGAAGCTAGGTCCCACATTCAAAGTTCCTTGTTGGTTCTGCCATGGTTTGGCCAATCTTTTGACATGAATGAAACTGTAAAGAAGAAGTCAGTTTTAACACTATCAGAAGTAAGAACCATCAAATTTACAGCATTAATCAGACTAAATATGCTTTAAGCAACTAGGACAATAAACGCTACTGGTATTCAGATGTTGAAAGCCTCCCGTTTGGACATTATGCCATAAGAAAACTACATAACGAAAAGATGATTTAAGATATATGCATATAAGTTCAACAACTGCAAAACTATGTCAAATAATGGCAAGACATAGAAGAGATTATAAATCCTATCTAAACAATAGAAATCCCCCAATCCTAACTCTATGAAATCGTTTGATGAGTTCGGTGTTGAGAACTGTAAAATGGTTCTTATTGAAGAATGCCCACGCCAAAACAGAAAGCAACTCGAAAAGAGAGACGGTGAATATATTGAAAATGAAAAGAGCCTTAACAGATGTATTGTTGGTCGGACTAAAAAGAAAAGAATTTTGTGATGCGACAAGATAGCATCACCTTGAAGAAACGAAAGGGTGCCAAATATTCAAAAAGATAATATTGAAAAATACAAAAAAAAGACAAACATCATCATGAGAACAAAAAAACAAAATACAAGAAAGAAGAAACACTGGGAAAAACAGATAAATATGATGACAATAATTAAAGGTATAGAAGAAGGACACAGAGAAGCAATGAGGCAAACATAAAGAAACAGATCCCAAAGAGAGAAAAATAAATGCAAAAAGAAGAGAAAGGCGAAAACAGAAGAAAGAAAGAAGAAATCCCTCAGCTGAAACCATCACCAGAAGTTGATGTACTGAACCTTTGACTGAGAGGCTTTGCAGATGTGCATGTAGCTTTGGTAAAGATGGATCTAAAGCATTTTTGGACATAGTCCTATGCTGTGAAATCGTGTACTGTAAACAGTTACATGGCCAGAAATGGCAGACGGCCACTTGTACTGATGCCAACTACTTTGGCTCAAGCTTTGGAAAATGGGCTGCTGACGCGACCGGATACGATCGTTCGCGTTTTGAGTCGGCCTACCAGGAGATAGACCAAGGTTTTAGCTTTCAACTGGTTATCAGCCGCAAGAGCTACAAGGAGACCATTGGTTGAAAAACGAGACCATACACATAGACACACATACCACTAAGGTGTGAACTGAACATCGAGTTGAGTGAAGAGAGAACAGATACCTTGTTTGAGCTTCATTCATTGCCTCGCGCTTCCGAGCGCGATTCATGCCTCCGCGCGAAAGAGAGCGCGATAGATCGCGACGTCGTCGTGGTCCACGTGGCGGGGATCCGAACCGCCCGAGCCAACTGTCGCGCCGTGAGAGGGGCCTCCCCACGGAGGACCGTGGAAGAGGGGCTGAGCGAGAACAGCATCGAGATCGTGGTGTTGAGTACCGTCGAGTTGATCGTGGGCGTGGTCGGGATCGCGGCACAAGCCGCGACAGTCGTGACTGGCCAAGGACTGGTAGGGGACGCGGTGATCGAGCGAGTCATCGAGAAGGCTACCAGGCGAGATCTCCGCGTCAACCGCAGTACCCACCGCCCCACGTGACAGAGACGTGGGAAACCCGCCGGGCACCACCGAGGCCGCCTAGCGAGAGTGAGGAAGAGAGTGATTCGAGAGTTGATTACGTTGAGCGTGGTCGTGAAGAGCGGTCACGGTCCCGTCGTGGGTCGTGGCAGAAGCTCTGGGTCTGGGTCCCAGAGAGTCCGGATCGCGATCAGGATTCGCGAGAGGACGATCCTCAGGAAGAGGTTGAACTTGAAGGAGGATCCGTTGACACCGAGACAGGCGAGCCCAGGGCACACCTTGCAGAGGCCGTTGAAACTGCTCCGGAAGTTCCTGGTTGTTCACCTAGAGGTTGCATCGGCTGTCGACTTTTCCGCGACCGAGGATTCGATCGCGAGGCAAGCTACAGCCTGCAGGTACCAACCTGGGGGTTGGCTGTTTCTTTTACGTCCTGGCTGTTTGTTCCCTGCAACAAACGTCCCTGGCTGTTTGTTCTCTGAAACAAACGTCCAGGCCTGCCCCTGGCTGTTTGTTCTCTATGAGAAACGTCCAGGAGCTGTTTGTGTAGTGTATGAGAAACACCCAGAACCGATCCTAGCAAAATTGTCAGATTGAAAACGTTCTGCAATTTTTCAAAGGGAAAATTGACTCTTTTTTTGCGATTCTGCCAAAAGCAAAGAATAGTTTTGACTTGACCTTCAAGCCGTTTGTGCCTAATAGGTGTGGCCAACCCATGCATGCAGAGGGACCCCGGAGAATCGCGCACGTCGCACATCATATTTACATGGAAATATGTTACATGAGGCATGATAGCTCATGTTGCATGGTCATTAGATTAACGCATGTCCACGGTATTGCCCTGATAGGGCTGCGGCCCTCAAATCTTCATGTTTTGCGCGGGTGAATCATGCTGCGTGCGCTTTGGCTATAGTGGGGCGCTCCGCTCGGAAGGTGCATTCATGAAATGGCCAGTGATTAACGGGGAGATGATGGTTTGCTTTGCTATGCGCAAGTGCTTTTAATCGGTTGACGCGGTCTAAATGGTGTATGGTTGAAACATGCCCACACACAGGAAAGATGTCATTGTGCACCTGACGTTCCCTACTCTTCCAAACTTTTCCAATGATCGAGCTTTTGCCATGGAATCTTGCAGCGCTGGATCTCGAGAGCCCTACTGCCTTGTTTGAAGTCTGTGTTGATGTTTGCGAGTTGGAACTTTGGGGCTTGAACGATTGAGCGGTGTCTAAAAATGTGTGAATTTCATTTGCAGTGCAGCATGGCTCCGAAAGTAGTACCTCCACGGCCCCACAGTGAGCCAATAACGTGGAATGGGTGTGTCATAAATCAGCCCCCGCCAGCTGTGAGAGTCACTTTCCTGCGTTCATTTTCTTGTGTTGTATTGAAAGCTTGGCTTCCCAAGGGGGATTCCAATTTGCTCTTTGTTTTGTCCCAATGAGGCTAGCTCCAGTGTGACAGCCGATGATGCTGATTGGTGGCCCCTGCAGGTAGGTTTGTTTCTGAGCTCTGTTCCATTGGCAGTTATGAGTTGATTGAAGTTTGTTTGCCATCCCTGTTGAACTGTTTGAATCTTGCTTGCGTTGACAGGACGGAGTTTCAATGATGGCAGCTTTTGCGGCCGAGTCATGGAGGGCCCAACGTCAAGCCCAGAACTACGCCAAGGCCGCAAAGCGGGCGTGGGCGAAGGTCAGTTCTTTGGAGAAGGACTGTTGTGTTTTTCCGGTTTTTTAAATTTGTATATTGGGTTGTGTTTTGTGACCTTCTGATCATGCAGGAAGTGATTGGGCATACCAACACCACTGCTGCCCACGCAATTCTCAGTCAGAAGATCTTGGGGAATGAGCGCAGTCACGAGGCCACGAATGTCACCGTGGTCCCTATGTCTAGTAGGTCTGAAGGTGCGACGACGCTGGAAGAGGCAACAACAGTGCTGCCAGAATCGAATTACGTGGCCACGGAAACGCCATTCGGTGACACGTTCTCCACAGCTCCCACCTCCCCGGCAGTGGAGCCTGAGGAGGATACAATGGAGCCAAAGTGCAAGAAGTTGCGCTTGGTTTAAGACTCCAGTATGACGTGGAGCGCAGTGGTCAAAAAATTAGTAGGGGTTGCGCACGTAGATTCAAGTTCTTAGTGCCCTCCAGGCTTGATTGCATTGCAGCTAGCTTTCTGCGCAGGTTTTTGCCCCTTGAACGAACGAAAAGTTGATGCCAGGTATGCAGGTTCAACCGTGATGGATCCATGGCAGGCGTGAGTGGGCCATGAACTGTGGTTTACTACAGGTGCAAAGCAGCCTTTGACAGTTGTAAATCGCCAAATTGTGATTTACAGGAATGATTTTCAGTGCAGTTGCCCCCCTTGTGCAGGCCAAGGATGAAGCGGCGGCGAATCTTACTCGCAGGACAATCTGTCACTTGTATAGTGTAGCTTTGTTTTGAAGGGACGAGTTCATCATGTGCACTAATGCGCACTGTAGGACATTCCATTCGCACCTACACTTGGGTCATTTGCGCAGCTGTTCAGGTTAGCCATTTTTGTTCAGCGCAAAGTGCCATGGGCCGGCACAAGGGGAGCGCAGCAGACGACTCCCAGCGCCCGGATTCTTGTCGCCCTGAGGACGTTTACGTGACACGTCTTGGAACGTTGACTGCGAGATAGGTTTTGAAAGGCTTCCTTTGCCCTCAGTTTCTTTTTGCGCACTCATTGTGCCCTGATTGGTAGGACAAACCCAAGACTCCATCTGAGATGAGGCAAGAAATTCTTGACGGCCTCCAGGGCAAGGTTGTGGAGATTTTGGATGACCCTGTCACCAAGCCTTCGCCTCCCCCCACAGCACCTCTCGAGACGGCAGAGACAGCAGCTGAATCCTGGCAGAGCTTAAAAGAGAGGTTTGGACCACACTATGCTTTGGGGGTCCAAATGGAGCGTGAGGCTATGGCACTCCAGTCTAAACCAGTCCAGCATGCAATGCAGCAAGGCACCATCAAGAAGCCTCTGTTTTTGAATGTTCTTCACTTGCGCTTTTTGTTTTCCAGAATCATACTTTCACGTTTCAACTCTTAGCGTTTAATTTTGCCAGGTGCCATTGGTGAGGCGGCGGATGAACGTGATGCCGCGGATCCTGCTGCCATTTGATTGCAGCCATAGTTTTAGTGAGCGTGAACATTCCTTGCAATCTTTCTCCAGAACCGTGCGACCCTTCTGTTCAAAGCAGAACGCATGAGGTGGGAGTGCGACCTCCAGGCACCGCTTTCGTGAAGAATGCTGCCATCACCCCAGAGCCTGAGTATACTAAGGACATCCATTGGATCTTTTGATGAAACATGTGCAACAAAATCTTCTGCTAGCGTATCTATTTTTGTTTTAGCGGAGTCCAAACTGTCCAAATCAATTGTGATCATGCTGACTATGGAACAGGAGGTTGTCAACCAGCTGGAGGGAACAGACTTGCCACCGGCGGACCCCGCCAGTTTTGCCCTCAGTCAATTTTCAGAAATTAGTCTGGGACGGCCTTTCCATGACAGCTTAATAAACGTTCAGTTTTAAAGACAGACCATTCTGTTGAGGTCAGAAGCGTTTGCAGGCAGATCTGAAACCAAAAAACGAGTTGCAGAAGAGGAAAAAGCAAAAGACCAGTGAGGCTAAAGCTAAGCCAAAACCAGAGCCGAAAGCAAAAGCGAAGTTTCTGGTCAGGAAGCACAAGCGTGCTTGTCCGGGGGAGGGCAACGAATACACGTTCATTGCTGCAATTTATGACAACACCAATCTGAAACAGATTGGCCAACTCACCCACCTGGTTAGCCCAGATTATGAACAGATTGTCAAGGATTTGGTTCAATCCCTCAATGAGGGCCAGAAAACGGCTGAAGAAGCGGTTGAGGAGCTGAACAAGCTCAAAAATACATGATTTGCTTGGCTCGCTGGCGTTTCACAAAGCAGCCAACAGCTATAGGGTTCGCAGCATGGGATGGAAAAAAATTGAGGTGACCAAAAGGTGACAGGGAACCGAAACAGTTTTGTTGCACGCATATTCAAAGCACTGGGTTAACAAGCCACATGCGCCGTGAGTGCAGGACGCGAGAATGAAGCCGCCGCCTCATCGGGTTCCAAACAGCCTGCGAGGTCCTTCCCCGCTGAAGGTTTTGTGTGCGCAAGGGATGTTTGAAAGACTCATGTGGAGCACTTTGGCAAGTACATGGTACACAGTCTGAGTATGTCTCATTTGTGTCTGTGTGTGTGTGTGTCTTCAACGTGTGCGCTGAATGTTCGCAGCTGTCTCTTTTGTGTACTGAAACATTTTCGTTTACTATAAATCAGGGACGGAAAGCTATATAAAGACAAAGTGTGGCTTTGGCTTCCCATCAATTTGTCAAGTTTAGTGTTCACCAATTGCCAACTGCTTCATCCCAGCGCCATGGGTATGATTCCGAAAGCTTTGTTGCTGAGCCTTTTGGCGAGTTTGTCTTTCCATGAAGCTCGGGAGGTTTATGGCCTCACAAAGTTGCAGCTTCCTTGGGTGGCCGTGGAACTTGTGATCCACGCTATGATTGTTCGAAGGATGATGGACTTCGAGGTCCCTGAGGGGCTCCAATGCATTGAGTTCTTTGCGGGTACCCAAATGTCATCCCAAGTAGCGAAAGCATTTGAGGAACTGGGTTTGACCGCCTTAGCTTTTGACATTGACCGCTGCTTGGATGAAAGTATGGGGCATGGTTGCATGATTCCCATCTATGAAGGTATTTATGTTATGTTCTTTCACGTGCAATCTGTGTGTGTGTGTGGGGGAACGCAAAGAGAGTGGGCGCGTACATGTTTGTAGTCGTGTGCTGAGGAAGCGCTTCCCATGATTTGGCGAGCTCCCAAGGTTTGATCTCAGCCGTTGTCAGCATTTTGTGTCTACGATGTGGGGCTCTGGTGCACCTAGCTACAGTGTGCACCAGTTTCAACTTCATGAATAGTGGCACTCACACGCGATCTATAGCATTTCCTTTTGGTTGGAGGGGTGATTTGGAGTACATACAACTCGGCAACATACTTGCTGGCCGTTCAGCTGTTTTGGCCTTGTTGGCTTGGGCTGTTGGAGCGTTTCCAATCTTGGAACAACCGCGCCAATCCCTCATGACAGCGCTACCTTCGTGGCAATCAGTGGTGGGGTATTTCCAGGAAGCTGCGTCTAAAGGATGGCCAGGGCAACAGCTGAAACTCAACAGTATCAACATGGCATCCTTTCGGGCACCATCTCTGAAACCAACAGCCCTCTATTCAACAGAAGCTTTGGGCCTTCTCATGAATCTGCGGGTGCCTCCGAAGTGTGACCGACCTCTCCCCAAAGACACTATTTGCCATGAGTATCATGGATGGACTCATGGTTGTTTTCCTTGACGGCTTGTGTGTGTGTGTTGTTACGCTGGCGCCCTTACTCGTGGCCTAGGTATCGCACCTCTTCTGGCGAGAAGAAAGTGGCAGGGGGCAAGGGCTTGAAATCTACACAATACTATACCCCAGAATTTGGGAGAGGACTTGCTTCATGGTGGATGGCTCATGGCCCTGTTTCTGCCGGGACAGCGGTTGGCTAACCTCTTTTTTCATGGACAACACAGGGTTAACTTCATTTGCTTTTAATTGTTGGTTCGCATGTGATCTCGTCTTATTGCCCCTGTCAGGAGAAAACGAAAACAATGGACATTCTTGCAGAGCTCTGATTTATCCATCAATGAAATGAAGGATTGAGAAAAATAACGAATTACTTTTGGAGTCGTTTACTTTCCTTGTTTGTAGCGCGCACCATGGATCACAAGAAACCAGGACCACATCGTTGCCTATTCAGGGCTGCCGCATTTCAATTTCGATGAAGGATGTCTGGTACAGGCACTGGAGGAGCTGAGACAGCCGTGGGTAAAGCGTTGACCATGTGTGATTCCACACAAACTTAATGAACTGCAACCCCGGGAAAAAACGACCGTTGCGGCTCTGGCGTTACTCACTAACATGTTTAGGTTTACATTGGGGCTTTGACCCCTTTCATTGTTTTTAATTCTTCATGGCGTTACTTACTAACATGTTTAGGTTTACATTGGGGCTTTGACCCCTTTCATTCATTGTTTTTGTAATTCTTCATGGACATATCATGTGTTATTGTATGTAGGGACCAGGTTCGACATGATGCCATATGCATGCACTATAGGACCTGCCGACATGTCACCAGCTAGGGTATTCTCGTGTCCGGCGGACTGCGTTGAAAGGTTTTGGAACTTTGGTTGAATCCCGAACCCGGAGCCCTATGTGTCAAATAGATATACACACATACTTACATACGTACAGATCAACAGAAACTAACACGTGCCTTGGCAAATTTCCGGCTTCGTTTATAGAGGTGGCCTGGATCAGCGGTTTTGGATGAAAAAAAAAGTGTTCCAGGCCACCTTGAAAAATGCCTTAGGGCGCTCCAAAAGGGAATTGATCATGAGGGGAAACATTGTTTTCACCCTATTGCACTAATTCAAGTGGGGGCAGCAGCCCCTGAGGTTATCAGCCAATCAACGGCCTTCGGGCCAAATTGTAAATTTCTTCTTGGTATGCTGCTGCGGTCTGACCCATGGGCCAGACCTCTTAGCCGATGGGGGCCTGCATATTATCGCACGTTGATATTGAAGGCTTCTGATCGCATCCTCTGCCAAAGCGTGGCGGTGTATATAGGTCAACAAAGAATATGATTATATATACACATACGTGTATAACTCACTGTAATGCACACCACGCATGCATGTATATAACATAGGGCAAGGGTTCGGGATTCTTGTAAAACTGACCGTGACCTGGCGTGACCTGGCGTGACCTCGAGAAACGGCCAATACTTAGCTAGGTAAGGGTTGCCCGTGACCCACCGTGACCTGGCGTGACCTGGCGTGACCAGCCCGGACTGAGGGTGATCGCCCGGGGGCGAGTGTTTCATGCTCAAGCGAAGTTTCTGCCGGGCCGGGAAAATGCTGGGGTCCGTCAAAGACGAGAGCTCCATGGATATCAACCAAGACCCGTACATGGTCGGAGTTGTGCATGCACTGGCTGCTGCGGCTCCAGGCAAAACGGGTGCAGTTTTTCTGTACTGGGTGGGGAAGTTTCTGGTGCATATTTGTTGGGCTTGTGTTGATCGCAGGCCCTGTTCTCCCCCCTAGTGGGGGCGCTCCACCTGTGATGATGACTGTGGAAGGGCCAGGCCCTTATATTGATGTACGTTTCGGAAATCTCGGCACAGACAAAAAGACACCAGGACCAACAAACACAAACGATGAAACGCATTTGAAGAAATAGTTTTTGACTTTTTGAATGCTTTTGGGACGTTTTCTTGAAGCTTGGTTGATCAAGGCATCAGGTGAATTTGTCTGCACCTCTGCCGCCTATGCCCCCTGGAGATACACAGATGACTGCCGCCACAAATGGAGACACTCAGGCTGGACAGGATCCGTTTTGTGGAGAAGAGCGGACGAGTTAACCAATGACATATTTCATTGAATGTGCGTAAACCTGTATACAATATAAAAAGAGAAGAAAACAAATCCATTTTTGTATACATTGTAGGAAATAGATAGGTTGATAAATAGATTTGATTCTTGGCTTCAACCTACCCAGGTTGACCCTATCAACGAGGAGCTTGACATGGAATTCAACAAGATCTCATCGGCTGCGGCCACGATTCCAGCAGAGACTCCCCAACGTGCGGAGGCCACAGCTGAGCAGACCGGACTACAGGCTGGACTGCAGCAGCAGCAGCAGCAGCAAGCGCAGACCACACAGCAACAGCGCAAGGAGGAAGCAGAGCTTGCAGCGCTGGGATGGGGGGTTCCCCCATCATGCAGGCCAGGAGAACCTGCCGCACCGGCCACTGCAGTTCCGACCCCCATGATGACTGGACCAGGTCATGAACCTGTCCCAACCCCAAGTTTGGCGCCTACAGCTCCAAACCCCATGGTGCCTGAACCCCATCCTCTGGCTTCACGTGTTCAGCATGTGACTTTGGTCCATGGAGAGCTACCGACTCCACACCAAATTCAGCAAGCTCTAGTCGGTTTGGCGCCTGCAGCTCCGACCCCCATGCCTGCACCTGTCCCAAGCCCAAGTTTGGCGCCTGCAGCTCCGACC